GGAGGAGGAGGAGGAGGAGGAGGAGGAGGAGGAGGAGGTTTTAATTTAGAATTTAAATTAGATTATTTCCAGATAACTCATCCCCTGGAATCTAAAGTTTAAAGTAAAGTTTTTAGGCTTCAATTAAGCATATACTACTGAATATTCTTTTTGATATACAAATGAGAAAATATATACATATACTAGTTAATTAATCAACTTTCTCTCTCTCTCTCTCTCTCTCTCTCTCCCTTTCCCTCTCCCTCTCCCTCTCCCTCTCTCATTATATAGTTCCAATCTCTCAACAACACATCCTACAGAATATGAGAACACCATAGCTATTTCTTTACTTCCTTTTCTAGCAACAATTAAAGCTATTAAATTTGTGAAGAATCCTAACCCTGGTAGGTCCCCCACACCACTTGTTTATTTCCCTTTTTACTGAAAGTGTTCCTCAAAGATCATCTAGATTTTTATCCGTTAGTTTAAATCTTTATAGTCTTTTCCAAGCTGGAGTATCTCCTTCAATTACAGCATCTGCTTCAATTAGAATTTTCTGTCCTGGCCCAGAGATGATACCTCATTCTTCTCACTAGTGTGGACCTGGTCAGGCTGGATATATAGGATGGCAAAGCTTCTGATAGTGTGATATTCTAATTGATAAATCCTCAGTTTAACAGTCTAATGGGGTAAGGGGTGTCCATTAGAGACAAATGTCTGCTTCATGGCAAATGGCATTTTATACATCTGTAAATTATATAATGCATGAAAAAATTAAATTTTAATTTTAATTTATTAATTATTTTAATGTCTAGACTTTACAGCAGGGACCCAGGCATCACACAATACATTCAAACATAAGTACAAAACAGTCACACTCATTCTTTTTTCTTTCTCCCCCCCCCCCCCCCCCCGCCATTCTTTTAGGCACCTCTTGAGCTGCTTCATTTCTCAGAGCTCCTTGGAAAAACAAAGACTTCCCCAGGATCAGTGGTCCAGAAGAAACCAGGCAATTTCATCTAGCATCATAATCACATCTGAATTCTACAGATACCTCTTATATGTTGTGGAATTGTCTACCTGATCACTTGTTAAACCGACAGTAGAATAGATGGCAGAATCCAATGATCAAATTTCTGATATTTTTCCATTTATACAATTTAGGAAACAATCTTGTCTCCATCTTGCAACATGTTAACATCTTTAAAAACTTGCTCTACTAGGTTAGAAGACTCTTCAAATCCAAATTCATTTGGAGGGACTCCAGGAAATACAAGAGTAGTACAAAGTCCTCCTGCATAAGTGGCCAGCTGTTCACCAAAAGAAACTACAATGATGATAATTATAATCTATACATTTTCTTTCACTAAGAAAGTTGTTATATACTTTATCCCTTATTCCTGCTGCTGACCCTTTTTGTGACTTATTTTCTCTCATCTCTAGCATCTTAGCAAACTGTTTAAAAGTAAATAATTGTCTTTAAAGTGTACATTTGCTTCACTTCAAACAGTGACCATGGTTTAGTGGCAAACAAATGTTGGCATAGTTCCATTTGATTTGTTTATTTATATTGCTCTGTCTTGTTTACATGCTTTTGAATTTCTTCTTTTCCTTCCATAGGTCAAACAAATATGACCACTGGCAATAAAACTGTAGTAACCCATTTCCTCATTTTGGGCTTCCCTAGTCTGAAGAATCTTCAGCTGCTCCTCTTCTTTGTAGGGTTGCTCATTTATATCTTGACTTTGAGTGGACACCTCATCATTATCAGCATAGTACACATTGACCGATGTCTCCATACCCCCATGTACTTTTTCCTCAGTAACTTCTCCTTCTTAGAGATTTGGTACACATCCAATATTATTCCCAAAATTCTAGAAGTCTTCCTAACAAAAAACAAATCTATCACATATACTGGCTGCATTGCTCAACTCTACTTTTTAATTTCATTTGGTACAGCTGAATGTTTTATTCTGGCAATCATGGCATTTGATCGCTGTTTAGCCATATGTAATCCCCTACGGTATCAAAACCTGATGAATAACAAAATTTGCCATCAACTGGCTGTATGTTCATGGATCAGTGCCTTCATAATTAACATACCTCCACTGGTGGCAGTCTGTAGGCTGCCATTTTGTGGACCAAATGAGATCAACCATTTCTTCTGTGATGCATCCCCTTTACTGAAACTCTCTTGTGCAAATCCTCATGAAGCTGAATTGTTCAACTTCATTGTGGCTACTAGCGTCATTGTCAGTTCCTTTTTCCTCATTCTGGTCTCTTACGTCCTCATAATTGTCACTGTTCTGAAAATCCCCTCAACTACAGGCCGGCAAAAAGCTTTTTCTACTTGTGGCTCCCATCTGGCTGTAGTAACTATTTTCTATGGCACACTGATGTTCATGTATGTCCGTCCAACCTCACAAATTTCCACCAGTTCAGTGAACTTCAACAAGACAGTGTCTGTGTTTTACACAGTGGTCACTCCCATGCTGAACCCTGTCATTTACTGCCTGAGAAACAAAGAAGTCAAAGATGCCTTGAAGAGAGCTATCAGTGAGAAACATGGACTCATTAAGAAACCAAGCTACATTAGAAGAAGAAGAACAAATTAGCACTGCCTTCCCAAAAACATACTGTCCACTTGCATTGAATTATAAAACTGCAAATTCCACCTCTATTTGGATGTTGCCTGGTTGGGATATCTTGAATTAGGGTGA